AAAAATACAGAGCACCCTTACCATGTACTCTAATTCCCTTTGGCATTGCCATTCTGCATAATACTCTGTCCTCTGACTAGCAAGCAAGATTAAACATGTTTGCTTAACCCAGTTTTCATTCATCTGCCCACTTTTTCTTGAATGAGATCATCATGTGCAGAGGTTCTCTGAGGTTGTTTGAGCTAACTTCCCTCCCTTCTTCAATAACTCTGAAACAGAGTGTACTGCTCTAATTCCCTTTGGCATTGCCATTCTGCATAATACTCTGTCCTCTGACTAGCAAGCAAGATTAAACATGTTTGCTTAACCCAGTTTTCATTCATCTGCCCACTTTTTCTTGAATGAGATCATCATGTGCAGAGGTTCTCTGAGGTTGTTTGAGCTAACTTCCCTCCCTTCTTCAATAACTCTGAAACAGAGTGTACTGAGATACAGTGATTGGGCAGTTTCTCTAAGAGGCAGCCAGTAGCACTGTTGAGTAGCCCTGGTGTTTATAGGGAATACACCCTTGTCTCATCCATTAATCACTCCTCTGGGAACATGCAGAGTGAGGTTGATCCTGTATCCCCAAACTATCCTCTTCATCCCAACGTTGTACTTGTATTCTCTCTAAACTTAACCTTTCCATTTCCTTCAGGAGTTAGATTTCCATTACATCCCGAGTCACACAGACATTTTTGTTTTGTTTTGTTTTTTTGGCTTTTTGAGACAGAGTCTCCCTGTAGCTCCAGCTGGCCTGGAACTCGCTATGTAGACCAGGCTGGCCTTGAACTCACAGAAATCCACCTGCCTCTGCCTTCTGAGTGCTTGGATTAAAGGTATGCACCACCATGCCCAGCTCAGACATTTTTTTTTTTTAAGATGAAGTTTTCGGGGCTAGAGAGATAGCTCAGTGGTTAAAAGCACTGACTGCTCTTGCAGAGGTCCCAGGTTTAATTCCCAGCACCTACATGGAAGATACCAACTGTCCTTAACTTCAGTTCTAGGGGATCTGACACCCTCTTCTGACCTCCTCCAGATTGCACAACATGGGTGCACTTATGTACGTGCAGGCAATCCACTCATACACATAAACTTAAAACTTTTTTTTTTCTTCTTTTTTTTTTTGGTCTTTTTTTTTTCTTCCTTTTTTTTTTTGGTCTTTTTGAGACAGGGTCTCCCTGTAGCCCCAACTGTCCTGGAACTCACTATGTAGACCAGGCTGGCCTTGAACTCACAGAGATCCGCCCGCCTTTGCCTCCTGAGTGCTGGGATTAAAGGCATGCGCCACCACACCCAGCTAAATTTTTTTTAAAAGATGAATTTTTATTTTATTTTATTTATTTATTCATTTTTTGTCTTTTTGAAGCAGAGTCTCCCTGTAATTCCAGCTGTCCTGGAACTCACTATGTAGACCAGGCTGGCCTTGAACACACAGAGATCTGCCTGCCTCTGCCTCCAGAGTGCTGGGATTAAAGGCATGGGCCACCACGGCCCTGAATTTTTATTTTTAATTATGTGTATGCAAGTGTGAAGGTATATGCATGTGAGTGCTGTTGCCTGTGGAGGCCAGAAGAGGGTGTGAGATCCCTCAAGCCGGGGTTTATGGGCAGTTGTGAGCCACCCAGTGTTGGTGCTAGGAACAGAATTCATGTCCTCTACAAGAGCATTGTCTGCTCTTAACCACTGAGCCATCTCTCTAGCCCTCAGACAGTTTTTGACCTTCTACGTGATGCCAGACATTTTTGTAGATGGTTTGGGTAGTACAGATGGGTTCTATAAAGTCTAGTGGGAGAGATACATTTCTAACAATTGAAATGATAATTTCTCATAATTAGAAGTACATATTTGAAGGGTATATAAAGTACTAGAGACAGAGGGAGATGGAGCTCTGTGAGTTCAAAGCCAGCCTGGTCTATATAGTAAGTTCCAGGCCAGCTGGGGCTATAGAGAGACCCTGTCTCAAAAAAGATTTAAAAAAAAAAAAAAAAAAAAAAGGAAAGAACACGATGTAGGAGGTCTGTACTATAAGTAATGGAGATTTGAGCATGAGCATAAAAAGACTTGTTGGCTTTGTTTTAGAAAAGTATCAAGATAGAAGATGGCTAAGGAAGGAGGAGTTTTACAAAAATAAGGGTCTAAATGGGGGGGCGAGGGCTCTCAGCTGTAACCCCAGTACTCAGGAGGCTGAAGCAGAGGATCAATGCAAAGTTCCAGACCGTCTGATAAAGAGTTTATTTACTCCCATGAGTAAACCTACACAGAGATTAACTCAGTCCTTAGGTAAGACTGCCAAATATGGGGCTGGAGAGATGGCTCAGTGGTTAAGAACACTGTTCTTGCAGAGGACCCAGGTTCGAATCCGAGAACCCACATCGTAGCTAACAATTGTCTGTAACTCCAGTTCCAGGGGATCCAACGGTCTCTTCTGTCCTCCGAGGGCATTTCACGACATGGGTGCACTTACCTACATGCAGGCAATACACACATACACATAAAATAAAAATAATAAATAAATAAAAATTTAAAAAAATGAAGACTGCCAAATATAACAAGAAACAGTGACTGATTTGTAAAATGCACTATATTGCAGGTCAATATATCTCAAGCTGATATGCAGGCCATTGGCAACACCATTACCATGGTAACGCAGGACGGCACACCCATCACAGTCCCTGCACATGATGCAGTCATCTCCTCAGCAGGAACACACTCTGTTGCTATGGTCACCGCCGAGGGCACGGAAGGACAGCAGGTAACTACTTTTGTGTGCTGTATTAGTCAATACCTATATCAGTGTCAAAACTGTTAGATAGATTTTTTTTTGGTGTTTTTGAGACAGGGTCTCCCTGTAGCCCTAGCTGTCCTGGAACTCACTATGTAGATCAGGCTGGCCTTGAACTCACAGAGATCCACCTGCCTCTGCCTCCCGAGTGCTGGGATTAAAGGCGTGTGCCACCACGCCCGGCAGTAGATGGACCTTTTCAATCACATAAACTTCAGACTGGCTCCCACTTTTGGAACTTCTTTAGCTAATTAACCCTTAGAGCTAGTTTTTCTTTATCTGTAAATTGTGATAGTAACATCTGCACCATAAGGTTGATGTAAGGATGAACTGAGATCATGCATGTAAAGAAAGTGCTCACTAACAGTAGCTCTTCCTGTCGGCCTTGTCATCAGACACTTAGGAAATAAATTCATCTGTAAAATCTACTTAATTTTACTTTCATTAATTTGGGGGTACATAACATCTTAACATGTTCTAAAAATTTGAAAAAAAAAAAGCCGGGCGTGGTGGCGCACGCCTTTAATCCCAGCACTCAGGAGGCAGAGGCAGGTGGATCTCTGTGAGTTCAAGGCCAGCCTGGTCTACATAGTGAGTTCCAGGACAGCTGGGGCTACAGGGAGACCCTGTCTCAAAAAAGACCAAAAGAAAAAAAAAAATTGAAAAAAAAATAGGGGCTGAGTAGTGGTAGGGCCCTGTCTAGAAATGAACAAGGCCCTGAATTCTATCCCTAGCATCTCAGATAAAAAGAAAAAAATATATACAGATACATATAAAAAGTATTTTTTTGGTTTTTGTGAGGGGTTATTTTTATTTATTTGTGTCTTTTTAGACAGGATCTCCCTATAGCCCCAGCTGGCCTGGAACTCACTATGTGGACCAGACTGGCCTTGAACTCGCAGAGATCTGCCTGCCCCTACCTCTTAAGTGCTGGGATTAAAGGCATGTGCTACCTGGCTTTTTGGTTTGTTTTTTGAGACAAGATCTCACTATGTAGCTAGGGCTAGCTTGGAACTCAGCAACCCAGGGTAGCCTTGAATTCTAGACCCTCCTGCCTCAGCCTTCCAGTGCTGGGAATACAAATATTCAACATCCCATCCAACTTTTAACAATACATGTTGAAAATATGTCTCTTTATTTACTAGCCTCTTCATTCCTTCCCAAAGCTCCATTATACCCCACTGTATGGATATGCTGTGATGTAAAGTTTTTCACTCTTTTTTTTTATAATTTTTTTTATGTGTATAAGTATTTTGCATACCCGTGTACAAGTACACCATATGTGTGCAGTGCCCCAGAGGCCAGAAGTCATTAGAGCCCATGGAACAAGTTAAGGACAGGTGTTAGTTGCCATGTCAGTACTGGGAACCAAATCTGGGTCCTCTTCAAGAGCAGCCAGTCCTTTTAACTGCTGAGCCATCTCTACAGCTCTGGTCAAAACAATTTTGAAAAAAGGAACAAAATTGACAGTTTTATGCCTTGAAATAGAAAATTCAGATCCATAAAACTTCTAGAAGAGAGCCAAATTTTTGGTGACCTTAAGGTAAAGATTTCTTGTATACATTCAAATGCAAAAACAAAACAAGGCTGGGCGTGATGGTACATGCACTTTGATCTTAGCACTCAGGAAACAGAAGCAGATGGATTGCTGTGAGATCAAGGCCAGCCTGGGATGGTCTATATAGTGAGTTCCAGGCCAGCTGAGGCTATATAGTGAGACCCTATCTTTAAAACAAAACAATTTTTTTTTTTTTCAGAACAAAACAAACAGAAAACCAAGGCCTGCAAGATAGCTCAGGAGGTAGGGGTGGGGCACTTGTGATGTTACTGATGACCTGAGTTCAGTCTCCAGATTCCACAAGGTGTCAGGAAACACCATCTCCCAAGAGCTGTCCTCTGACCTCTGCACTTGAACAATGGTACATTCACACACACAATTAAGCAAACAAAACACAGAAACCACAGGCTGGGTGTGGTAATGCACACCTGTGATACTATGGGAGGCAGAGGCAAGAGGATCAAAACAAGTTCTAGGACCACCTGGTCCATGTAATCAAGCCAGCCTGGGCTCTATAAAAGACCCTGCTCAAAAAAAGAAAAGAAATGTAAATTAAGGGGTTGGGGAGGTATAGATTAGGGGTAGAGCACTTATACAACAAATACCATGAGATACCATTTCAGGCTCAAGAAAATGTTTAAAATCAAGATTAAGAAAATGAAATGCTGGCAAGGATATGAAGCAGGGATATTTGTACACACTAGAGGGAGTGTAAGTGACACAACCACAGGAGAATCATGGTAGTTTCTTGTGATCAGACATATGATATAGCCTATAACCTAGCAATTCCACTAGAATACATGTTGTGTACTTAAATTTATATGAAATCTAAGAACAGACAATTCATTTTTGCAAGAGTGATTAAATAGACTATGAAGAAATTGCTCTCTATCTTGTTTTGGGAGGGGTTTTCAGAAGTGCATTCAACAGTCAAAACTCAACAGAACACCAAAGGTTTATGCATTTTTAAAGAGATAGTTATTTGTGTATGTGAGTGTATGCTCTTGTGGTAGGTGGGTACATGTTCCTGTGTGCTGGGGCATAGGCCTGAAGCACGTGTCAGATGTCCTCTGTCACTCTCTGCCTCTTCTTTGAGGCAGGGTCTCTCCCTGAATCTGGGACTAGCATTTTTCTCAGCTAGAGGGCGGATAGGATAGCAAGCCTCAGGGATCCTCCTGCCACTAACCCCCTCAGAGCTGGTGTAACAGATATGTGTGGGTCGGATCCCAACTCTAGTCCTCATGATTTTGCAGCAAGTTCTTAACTGCTGAGCCATCTCTCCAGCCCATGTTTATGCATCTTAATTGAATGCTAATTATGCTTTCTTTAAAAAAAAAAAAAAAAAAAAAACAAACCTCAAAACACAGCTACTAGCCTTCAGGTTGTCTTATGGGATGGTCCTACCTCACTACTTGTTTTTTGTGGATTTTCTGGATGGGTTCATAACCCAGGTTGAGTAAATACACCTTGTACAGTTGCACTTGCAAGACTGGAAAAGCAGTGACCCTAAGACACATTCCTGTGCAGCTTGTCTGTAGCATGTGGTCAGGAATCTAGTCAGATGAGGCTTTGAAAAGTGGAATGAAGCCAGGCAGCTTCCTGCAGCTGGAGATATCATGGGGCTGGGGGTTTCACTTGAGAACCAGATGCTGTGTTTGTTCTGCTGCAGCTGTGGGCCATGGAGCAGATGCTGGCTTCCACTTGGGCTATCTGGACTTGACCAGGCATTAACTAGAACACTGACTGTGTCTTTACATGCGTGGGCTTAGTCTCTTTCTCCTTCCCTTCATCCTCCTCTGCTTTCTTCTTTCTTCTCAATCTCAATTATTTAATTTTCTTCTGTGCTAGGGATTGAACCCAGGACCCTTGTTTATGCCAGAGAAGTCATCTCCTACCAAGCTACACTACTAGATGTGTGTTTTATTTTTCAGGAACTTAGCTTTAACATCTTTTTATTAACATAACGTTCATGGTATTTCCTTATTACTCCTTTAACGCTATAAGATCCAAAATAATGTCCCTTTTCTATGCTTTTGAATTTTATTTTGTGTGTGTGTACACACGTGTGTACAGATGTGAACATATATGTTATGTCTTTATGTGGAAGCTAGAGGACTATTCCCCTCAAAAAAGTTGTTTTGTTCCCCTCCTTCTGAAACAGATTGTCTGTTAGTGATTTCCCACAAGTTACTGGAGATATTTGGGGTTTTTAAAAGCTTCTTAGAGTTCTTCAAATGGGCAATTTCTAGTGACCTGTTTTTGCTTTTCGTTTTACTTTTTTTTTTTACATTGTGTGTGTGTGTGTGTGTGTGTGTGTGTGTGTGTGTGTTTTTTGTACGTGTGTATATGGTTCCACATGTGCCATGGAACATGTGTAGAGGTTAAAGGACATCTTGAAGGAGTCAATTCTCTCCTACCGTGTGGCTTCTGGGGCCCAAACTCAGGCTTGGCAGAAAGCACCATTACCAGCTGAGTCATCTCACTGGCCTTTATTTATTCATTTAAAATTTTTATTACATTTTACTTATTGTGTATGGATAGGTGCCAGTGTGTACATATGGAGGTCAGAGTACAGCTTCCAGGAATCAGTTCTCTCCTACTGTGTGGGTCCTGGGGATTGAACTTAGGCCACCGGGCTTGGCAGCAAGTGCCTTAACCTGCTGAGCCATCTCAACAGCCATATTTATTATTGTTGCTGCTGCTGTTTTTTTCATTCATTGAGGCTGGGCTTTTTGCTTTGTTAAGGCAGGTCTGTCTTAGTTTTGCCATTGGATCTTAGGGTGAAACTTTCATCTTGACATCTTTATTTTGAAAGCATGACCTTTAGGGTTTTAGTGTAAAGCCTGAGGTGTTTACCAAGCCTCCCAACTTGTAGAGTTGAAGCTTCAAGTTCTGCAGCCCCAGCTGGCCTGGAACTCACTATGTAGACCAGGCTGGCCTTGAACTCACAGAGATCTGCTTGCCTCTGCCTCCTGAGTGCTAGGACTAAAGGTGTACATGCCCAGCTTGTTTTTTTATTGTTTTCTAATGCTTCCAAATAATTGCTTTTTCCTTTCTTGGTTAAGAGTTTATAGTTGACATCTTCAGGAGGGTGAATGCTGGACTGAAATCTTTTTTCTTATTGGATTATGGAGCATGACTGGAATCAATTCAAGCTGAGTATCTATCAAATCTAACATGTTTAGTGGACTAGTGGCCAGAGACAGGGTCTCCCTGTAGCTCTGGCTGACCTGGAACTCACTATGTAGACCAGGCTGGCCTTGAACTCACAGAGATCCACCTGCCTCTGCCTCCCGAGTGCTGGGATTAAAGGCATGCGACACCACGCCTGGCTCTGTTATCTACTTTAAAATTTTTTTTCCATGTTATTTTCTTCAGAAGATGGTTTTTCTCCTGTCTTCATGAAACCAGCTCTTTACATGGGTTTTGGTGGGGATGATAGGGCAGCACCAGCAGGTCTAAATTGTGCTGGCGGTGTTCAGTTCTTCCAAGCTTCATGAGCTCAATTCCTGACCACCTTGCTATAAATGGCATAGCTCACATAGTAGTGCAGCTTAACATAGAGCTTAGGAGGCACATAAACACTGAAAACACTTGCTGTGGAAATGTCACTGAGAGCAGCGGCCTCTGAGTTCCTAATAGTGAACCTTTTTTTCTTTCTTAATTTTATTTATTTTTATTTTATGTGTATGAGTGTTTTGCCTATACATATGTAAGTGTACCCATATGTGCAGTGCCCAAAAGAAGGCATCAAATCCCCTGGAACTAGAGTTACAGACTGTTATTAGCTGGGAACTGAACCCCAGTCCTCTGTAATAGCAACAGATGCTCTTTACCACTGAGCCATCTCTCCAGCTCCCAAATAATGAACTTCTTAAGGGCCTAGCCCTTGGACATAGGACATATGCTGGGAGCAGCTTGTACAGCAAACCAGTTGCACAGGCTGTGGCCTTTTTTTCCAGTTGTTCCTTGTTTTTTTTTTTTTTTTTTTTTTTTGGTTATTTTGGAGCCAGAGCCCAAAAGATGATCCAGTGCCTGGTCCAGCACTCTTAACTTATTTGTTTATTTGTTTGTTTGTTTGTTTGTTTATTATTTATTTATTGGTCTTTTTGAGACAGGGTCTCCCTGTAGCCCTAGCTGGCCTGGATTCGCTATGGAGACCAGGCTGGCCTCGAATTCACAGAGATCCACCTGCCTCTGCCTCCCAAGTGCTGGGATTAAAGGCATGCGCCACTATGCCTGTCCATATTTATTTATTTTTAATATTTTATTTATTTTTATTTTATGTATATGAGTGTATTGCCTGCGTGTATGTGAGTGCACCTGTGTCGTGCAATGCCGCAGAGGTCAGAAGAGGGCTTCGGATTCCCTGGAACTGGATTTAAGGACAGTTTGTAGCCGCCATGTGGGTGCTGGGAATTGAACCTGGGTCCTCTGCAAGAGCAATCAGTGCTCTTAACCATTGAGCCAGCTCTCCAGCCCCCTTATTATTTTTATTTTATGTGTATGCGGCATGTGTTGCCTGTGTGTAGGTAAGTGCACCCGTGTCATGCAGTGCCCGCAGAAGACAGTCGGATCCCCTGGAATTGGAGTTACGGACAGTTGTTAGCTGCCATGTGGGTGCTGAGATTCGAACCCAGGTCTTCTGCAAGAACAACCAGTGTTCTTAACCACTGAGCCATCTCTCCAGCCCTGTTACATCTATTTTTAAACTATAATTGTGCCTGGTTAGTCCGTCTGGCTAGAGACTTCAGGAGAAATATAGATGGCCAAGTTCCATGAGCCTAAGGTGGGAAGTGAGTGATGTCACCAGTCCTTTCAGTGTCTCCCAGTGAAGAAGAAATGTAAGTGCACCAGGTAAATAGCAGAAAGGAGTCTGATCCACACTCAGAAATAAATCGATATCCATTTTGTGGATTAGTCAAGATGTATAACTTACTCAGCAGTCACTAAGAGTAACAGAACCTGTCCAGGGATTTGGCATAGCAGACCGACTTCTCTGGTATCCTCCATCCCGTGTTGCCATTGGTTCATTTCATAAACACAGGTAAGTCCCTTTTCTCTGGGCCTTAACTTCCTCAAATAAAAGAGTCCAGCATAGGGAGTATGTGCAGTCTTTCCAGTGGAAGGCATCTGCAGATCTCTGGTCCCTCACATAGAGTGGACTTTGACCTAATTGAATCATAGATTGAATGTCTCATGAGTTGTTTCACTTTGCTTAAGGTTGCGATTGTGGCTCAAGACCTCGCAGCGTTCCATACGGCCTCATCAGAAATAGGGCACCAACAGCATAGCCATCACTTAGTGACCACAGAAACTAGACCTCTGACCTTAGTGGCAACATCCAATGGCACCCAGATTGCAGTTCAGGTAAGTACAAGGGCAGGCCAACAGCAGCACAGCTGCATAGCTCTCTACCTGGCACACTGGGCCTTGTGTGTAACCTTTCTGTTCCTGAAGAAAACCAATCAGCAGCTGGCACTTTCCTGAGTGTTTCCTAGCTGCTCATGGAGTAAAGCGCAGAATCATCTGGGTACCTCACTTACTTAAGACAATTACTATATTGGAGGTTATCACAAAAAGACCAACACTGAGCCAGGAATGTAGCTCAGTTAGTAGAGTGCTTGTCTAGCATGCAAGAGGCCCTGGGTTTGATCCCTAGCACTGCATAAACCAGGCCTGGTGGTGGCTCTGGCCTGCAATCCCAACACTCAGAAGGTGGAAGCAGGAAGATCAGAAGTTCAAGGCCATCAGCATATGCTATATGCAACCTGACCTTAAAAAAAAAAAAAAAAAGACTATTGCTTTGTTCTTACTACCTTTGCTTTGCATATTCTTGGGGAATTTATAACAAGAAAAATTAAGAAAAAAAAAAAAAAAAAAAAACTGGTGTGTACCCAGCTTGCTATCTTTACTGTTGATATAAGACTCACTTCATAGGGTTCTGTAAACAAAGACCCTCAGTGACCCTCTGAGTACCTGCATAAATCCCATTTCAAAGTGAGGACTGTCAGAAGACATGGAGGAGCATTCTGAGGGGAGTCACAGGAGCTGAGCAGAGAATCTAAAATCCTAGATGCCAGATATAGATCCCCTGCATGAGGAGAGTGGTTTCTCCCCGAGTTACTTGGGAAAGTGCCAGCCGCTGATTGGTTTTCTTTAATTTATGGACATAGAAGCTACCTCTCCACCTCCACTGGCCAGGGTGACCATTTCTGTCCCTGGCATGTGAAGAGCTTATCAGTCTCGAATATGCTGCATTATTCCCATCTTGAGAAGTTTTCATTTTGTGTAATTAAAGACCAGGTTAACAATAATATTTTAACAATCCAAAGTGTCAGAATTACAGGAGAAATTTCCTTTCTGCCATGGAACAATTCTTTGGTGTTATCTTGATTGGGGCTTTGAATTGTTACTGTTGGATGTGTGTGTTTCAGCTTGGAGAGCAGCCGTCTCTGGAAGAAGCCATCAGGATAGCATCTAGGATCCAACAAGGAGAAACACCTGGGTTGGATGATTGACTCAGAATCACAGACCAATAAAGCAGGAGGGAGCCTTTCATCTTCGGCAGCAGCGGAAATCCCTGAAGCAGGGAGACCAGTTCATTCCTGATGCACTGTACACATTTTTATGCAAGAGTGGAGAACATTTTTTTCTTGACACTTTTGTGTATATAGCCCCTGGAATAAATTCTCAAAGTGATTCATTGTGTACCAGGAAGTATGAAATTAGGGCACTGCAGTAAATCTTCATGCTACTGTTTTATCAGATAGCAGACTCTTGGAATCCACCCACAAGGCTGTGAGGTCTGAACAGAGTCTTAGGATGGTTTTTTAACTGTGAAAAATAAATAAAGGCTGTATCTAATGTGTTGAAGGTTCTACATGTCAAAAAATCATCACACCAAAAGCCATCATAGACAATAAAGGATGTAGCCTTCAGACACCCCTCCAGTCAGTGTCTGGAGTTTTTGTTCCACTGCACACTTGTCCATTTTTATTTGAATTTCAGGCTTTGGAGACTTCTTTATAGTTTCCCATCCTGTTGCATAACAACTCTTCAAGCTAAAAATACCAATTACATTAGTATTGCATTGGTTTATCTACAAAATTATAGTTTGATTATTTAAAATTAAAACATTAAATCCAGTGTTTGAAGCTGGGTGTGATTGCTCCTGCCTGTAATCTCAGCATTTAGGAGGCCGAGGCAGGATTATCACAAATTTGACTATAGCTAGCCTGAACTATAAAGTGAATTCCAGACCAGCCTGAGCGACAGACTGAGAACCTTTCTCAAAAAAAAAGGAAATAAAATCCAGTGTTTGGGTTTGTTAATGATTTTATGTAGCGTTCCATTTCTTTGTTACTGTTTTTAATGCTAGTGAACTATGAAAGCTTCACCACAGGTTGGTGCCTGGGCTTACAGTCCTGTAGTTCAAAATGGATTTACTCTGAAAATTAGGTTAGCAAGTTGGTGTAAATTATTTATTTTTCCTCTTGTGCTTTTGTTTCAAAGATTATTTACCCTAAAGTTTATTACTAATTTTGAATACAATGATTTCTAAAATGTTGCTTTTTATTTGTTTCATTAAATTGGTCTGGTGTTGGGGGACATGCTGCAGAAAGTACCACAGTGTAAGCATAACCAGTCCACACAGGTTGAGAGGCTGCTGTGGCAGAGCACAGAACAAGCACTGCTCTATTTTATGTACTCATCAACGTCTTGGGAGACATTTGAGGTTTACTATCTTTGAAGATTCTGAGCGTCCAGAGAGGCTGACTTACCCAGGCCTTGCAGCTCTGAAAGGCAGGGCAGTACTGAACAGCCCAGGTTTTCTGCCTCCACATCCAGTGTGGGTTTTTTTCAGGGGAGGGCTGTTGAGACCCTGCAGGGAGGTTGAGACAGGGTCTCACTATGTAGTCCTAGCTGGCCTGGAACTCACTATGTAGACCAGGCTGGCTTCCAGCTGACAGAGATCCACCTGCCTCTGCCTCATAAGTGCTGGTATTGAAGGCGTATACCAACACACCCAGCTGCCAGTATGGGTTTTGGGTTTTTTTTTAAATTTCTTTATGTGTATGAGTGTTGTGCCTGCATGTAGGTAAGTGCACCTGTGTCATGCATCCCCTGGAACTGGAGTTATGGACAGTTGTTAGCTGCCATGTGGGTGCTGGGATTCAAACCCGGGTCTTCTGCAAAAACAGTGTTCTTAACCGCTGAGCCATCTCTCCAGCCCTGCCAGTGTGGGTTTTTAACTAATACCTCAGCAGCCTGGAAAGCCACTGCAGAGGGTACAAAGATGAGCTTTGACAGTTCCTGATGGCCTAGCGGCCCAAGCACTTGGAAAACATGTTTCTATTCTATTTAGGTGCTTTTTTTGTTTTTATTTTGCTTTTTGATCTTCTGCTGTTTTGGAGGCGGAGTCTCACTATGTAGCCCTGGTTTGCAGAGAGCTTGTAACTCTTGCCTCTGCTGAGACTGCGGACAAGAGCCAGCACACCTGGTGGAAAATCATTTTCTAATGTTAGCAGTTCAGCATAAAATCTACCAGCATTTCAAAGAGAGAAGGAAAAAGGACAGGTGTCCTACAGCCACAATGCCTGTCCTGCCCTTCACCCAGCTTGGGTGCCAGAGTCCTAACCTGTGGCCATCTTTCATGTCAAGCTTTACAATACAAGGGGGAAAGTGAAGTGTGCTGTTTAATGTGGACGTTTTCTTTGATCAGGTTCTGTGAACTCACAAAGCCAGGGTCATGACTGGTCATTTGAAGAGAGAAGCCCTCAGGGCTGGTGGGCTGCCTCTGATTCAAGATCCTTTATGACACACCAAGGTGCTAGTCATCCCCAGATCCAGCCTTCAGTCCTTACAGCGGCAGGTACACAGAGCATACACCTGAGGCATGATGGGCAGAACCTGAGGGTTCAGGGTTATAGAACTCCTCTGAGTCCAGACAGACTGTTGTACTTTCTTCCCAGGAGACTGAAACCCAAACTGTGACACTTCCCTACCTGTTATATTCACTTGTGCTCAGATTCCAGGGGGCTTCACCCCAGCCCCTGCCAGCTGGATTGGGCAGGGCTGGACAGCTCTGATAAGCCTGATTACCCCAAGCTAAAATAATAATTTTTTAAAGCCTACTGGTATCCAGAGAATATGGGGCATAGGGTGCTCTTTTTTGTCCCTGGCCCATCTAGCATCTAGCAAGGTGACTTGTTATCCTCAAGGGAATACTCCAGCTGCCATGGGTCTCCACAAAAGGATGTAGGAGTCCCTCCAAAAATTAAAAAAAAAAAAAAAAGGGAGGCCCCCAAAAAAAAAAAAAAAAAAAAAAAAAAAAAAAAAAAAAAAAAAAAAAAATTCCTCAAAAGGCACTTGAAACAACTCCATGGCAGCAAACAACTCCATGGCAGCAAACAGCCAGTTCCAGTATTATCCTGTGCAATACGATCCAGGCAGTGCTCATGATGAATGTTCCAGTCCACGAAAAACACCCTGCTCTACCCAGAAGGGACTTGAGGTCACAACAAAAATACATGCCAGGCTGACAAAATGGCTTAGAGCGTAAAAGCGGTTTGCAAAGCCTGTTCATTAAGTTCAATCCCTGGAGCCCATGTAAACGTGGAAGGGGAGAGAGAACTGACTCCACAAAGTTGTTTTCTGACCTCCGCATGTGCATATATGCACACACACAAACACAAATAGTTATTTTAAGAAGAGGAAACTGCCTCCAGTATGTGCTCCCTATAAGATTTAGGAAACATGACTTTCACAATCATCCACAAGTCACAGCTGCTCAGAAAGCCAGCTTTCTCTCCCATGCCCACCCCCCGCAGTCCTTCAGGGACAAACTACAACCAGTCTGCTGCCAGCCTTCCTGCATGGCCACATGGAGCTCGTAAGTAACTTGGCAAATTGCACTTAGTGCCGAACTTGGATTCCATTTTCAGCCCAAAGAACTTGAAATCCAGTATTTCCTTGCTCAGGTAAGTTTGCAGATCAGTCACCCGTGAGCAATCACTCATGAGCGAGCAAGGAGCTGAAACTAGATTGTTGCCAAGAAGAGAAACCTGTACTTAGGGTTTAAGGCACTATGGCTGCCCACTTGAAGTTCTTTTTCTTCAAGGTTTATTCATTATTTTATGTGTAGGTATGCACACCTGCATGAGTTTATGTGCACCATATGTGTGCAGGTGCCAGAGAAGTCCAGAAGAGGGCATTGGATCCCCTGGAACTGGAGTTACAGGTGATTGTGAACTGCCACATGGGTGCTGGGAACCAAACCCAGGTTCTTTGCAAAAGCAGCAAGTGCTCCTAACTACTGAGCCATCTCTCCAACCCCTGAAGTACTTATACTTAATAAACATATCTTTGAAGTTCCATGAAGCAACAGAACATGCCCTGGCTGCCATGCCATGACATGACATGACAGGCTGGTGAAGTGCATGTAAAAGAATTCATAAAGCCAGCCGGGCATCGTGGCACACGCCTTTAATCCCAGCACTCAGGAGGCAGAGGCAGGCGGATCTCTGTGAGTTCAAGGCCAGCCTGGTCTACATAGTGAGTTCCAGGATGCTGGGGCTACAGGGAGACCCTGTCTCAAAAAGAAAAAAAAAAAAAAAAAAAGAATTCATCAAGACAAAAGAAGTAGAAAGTGTATTAGATACACTGGTACAAGCAAGACGGTAATGATAACTACACAGTCACATTCTTTGGTGGGGGTGCTCCACGTGGGCAGTCATGCAGTGTATCAATGTCACGGTGTCCAGGTTGCTTAGTTCTTACCAGGTGAGACAGGAGTGGGGCTCATGTCTGAATGGTTATGCGATACCTCATTGTGCAAAAGTGTGAGGTCTAAGTTCCAAAGCCAGAAAAGGAGGAGAGTCATTGGAAGCTGGGAGGTTGAAGAGATTGAGTGGCATTGTACACTTGATTCAAGACACACTTGAATCAAGACACACTTGATTCACTCTGGGCACAGACTGCTATCAGGCACATCCTGGCTGGTACCCAGGCACGCAGTGGTATACATGGGCCCCACACAGGCAGATAAAAGCACACATAGACCAGCACACAGACTGTGTGGGGGTAGGCAAACATAAAGGCTCAGACCTCTGACCCCAAGGCAACATTTACACAGAACCCACACAAAAGTGGTTTTCTGCCAGAACTGTTTGCATACCAGATTACATTGCTATTTACTTTGGGGTTGCTCAGATAGCCAATGTTAGCCATTTTGTACTGACTCATAGGTCCATGTCCAGTGTCAGTCATGTTTTTGTTGGCTCAGACCAGATATCTGTATCAGCACCATGTTGTCTAAACATAAGCTGGCCTTATGGCCTTCTGTTCCCAACACTGAGGACTAAGTTTTACAATATGGGTTCCTTTTCCTGGGGACTGGCTAACTGCATTTTAGCATAGGTCATAAGGGGTCAAACTCCCGATGGTCTGTACCTGTTGAGCAGAATCCTCCACAGTAGTGTCATGATGCCCTAAGACAGACTGCAGCCAGGCCTCATTAAAGAATGTCTTTCTGATTATGGCTGGAGGCAGCAGGGGACTTGCTCAACACAGCCTGATCTGAAACTAAAGTAACCTTGTTGAGATTTAGTTTAGAATGGCGTCCACATACCGCACCAACATAGCAAGATCAAATCACTGTAAAGGACAAAGTCCATCTTCTGGAACTGGTTCAGAGCTGAGTAGGGTTATTGGGGCAGGGGGAGCCCTGCTTGGCATTTTTGATCTGTCACAAGGTTATGGGACTACAGAGCACAAAAGGCACTCGGGGCACTTTGGAGGAGACCAGGGGTCAGATCAGAAGGTCTTCAGTGGTAGGAGGCAGGCATGGATGTTGATGGTAATGCCGACGTCCCTGAGACAAGGTCATTTGGAGCTTAAAGGCCTCAGTCCAGGAATCACTTATAAGACGTCTCCTTGAAGAAAGGCCTCTAGGATGATGGCCTCAAAATTAGTTGGGTCTTGGGTCTCATGGGAAGAGGAAAGAGTGCTCCAAGTGACTCATGGAAATAGATTATTTGCACTTTTGAGGGTGGAGCATTTAGCCCTGGACAGGTGAACCCATGGTTACCAGCCTTATAGCTTGATTGCAGTTGGAGACATGAGGAAGATTTGACAGCATTAGTCCAGACAGCTGCTAGTAGGAGGTCTTTAAGATAGACTTGGTAATGGGGCTGGAGAGATGGCTCAGCGGTTAAGAGCACTTACTGCTTTTGCAGAGGATCTAGGTTTGATTCCAACATCCACATGGCAGCTAACAACCATCTGTAACTCCAGTACCAGGGGATCTGATGCCCTCTTCTGACCTCCTTGGGCATTACACAACATGGGTGCACCTACCTACTTACATACAGGTGTTACACTTACACACATAAAATAAAAATAATAAAATATGCCAAGCGTGGTGGCTCATGCCTTTAATCCTAGCACTTGGGAGGTAGAGGCAGGCAGATCTCTGTGAGTTCAAGGCCAGCCTGGTCTACACAGTGAGTTCCAGGACAGCTGGGGCTACAGGGAGACCCTGTCTCA